ACAATGTACGAAGTTGCTAATTAACTTTGTCCTTATTTTAGACTCTCAGTGGCTAAGGTGTAAGTCTGAAGGACTATAACGCAAAAAATCGAGTTTTTGATACCTGTGGTGGGCACAGCACTTTGTTAAGCTTTGCGTTAAACATCAGGCAAACAAATCCTTAATCTAAGTTATTAAATTTCGCAGTTCAGACTGAATGATTGCAATTGTTGTTTAAAGTTACCATAACAAATCTTAAGCAATCTTTTATTTTTTTCCATTTGTAATTGAAATTTAATTGACAAGACTTTTACTTAGAGTTTTATATACACACACACAAACATTTTCCATCTGAAAAATAAGAAAATTGAAATACTGAATAGTTAGTTATCTTTTTTTTTTATAAAAAATACACTATTTTTCAGCATTGAAAAGACATTTTTACAAAAAAAAACGTTTTTGCAATACTAAAATAAATATTATTAGGATAAAATTTTCAGCAGTTTTAACGCCTATCACAATTTCTCTTGTAATGATGACGTTGTATTTGTTCTAAATTTACATTTTAAAGTGTTAATTTTTTGTATTCAAGAACTAAATCTCTGTCTAAGCGCTCACGTATTTTCCTCACCATTAACAATTGCTTTTCCCTGATTTAATAATAATAATTTAACATTTTAATTGTTAAACTTTTTTTAAATTAGATTTTTTGAAACAAAAATTATACGGAAAATTCCATCAAACTTACAACTTAACAAAGCTACGATCTCACGTCTATTTCCCCTGAATATTCCTCAAGAATAGACTGAATACTTTAAGATATGTAAGTTGTTAATATTGTTTTATTTAATAATAATATAGTGATTATTTTCTTTTGAACAGGCATAATCATCGATAAAAAAAAATTACATATTGATTAGTTTATGAAATAAAATATACAAAATGCTTTGTCATTTGTGCCTTTAATACAGAAAATATTTTTTATTCTTTATAAGTTACAAATCTATCGGTATATTTTGTATGTGGAAAAAATATTTTGGAATGAAATGCCAAAAAAAAAATCAATGTTTTTTCTTAAACATTTCCTTTGAAGCCTACAATTTCTATAGGTTTACAAGTATCTATACAAACTGTTATATGAAATATTATCACACTTTGACTAGACCAAGTTGATACTTTCGCTAGAGAGGATTGATCACATTTTATTAGAACGACTTGTACACGGTGTCGCCAGATAAGCTATGAAGCCATGAGCGAGCACTAACATACTAAAACAATGGTACATTTTCGACCATTTAACAGTGCAATGACGTCATAGTACCTTGTGGTTGGACTTAAAGAAATGAAAAAGAGTTTCCCAAGAGAAATATTCAAATAGCGATACCAGTCTGGAAGATACATTTCGAGAGGGAAAAACCACACAAAAAACGAATTCGGAGCAACACCCTCATCCACAAAGTGAAGAATGTATATGAAACAGAATTCTTCAACCCAAAATACTATTATAATAAAGATGGACAAATACACAAGTTTCTCAGCCACACCTAGAAATGTTTTCATGGTGCATTTGGTTTCTTTAAAGATGCTTTAGAAAGCTCACAAGGTCATATACAGCGGAAGGTCTGTGAAAAATTTGTCAAGATGTTTATTCTAAGAATGATCTGGTCGTCCTTTCCAGAAGTCTCTCAGAATATAAATAATGGTGTCGGACAAAATCACATAATCAGGATCATCGACAATCGAAAATAGTTTTAGCAGTAACATATAAATTGCAATATGTTATTGTATATCTGATGTCACTTTTGGTTTATTAGTCTTCATCGACTTCAAACCCTATTCTACTTAGCTTTTACACGATCACCTTCTGGTACATACCTTCCATGACCATCTTGCTGTGAACCTATACACTGCAACTGTCCAGTTCAGATTACTAAGAAGCCTAAACTACGTCAGCGTCCTTACAAGGAGATAGATTCTGGAATATTGATTTAGCCTTCTGCATCTAAACGTATAACTAAAGACGTATCTTGCTGTGATCTATGACCCGTAATGATTTCAGAGTTTTCAATTCCTACTGGATAATAAAACCCATTATTTAACCAGGTAAGAATTGAAGTTTTAAGCAGTATCAGCTTTCATTATAACAGCTAGGTCAAAAGTAAAATATACCACTATATGTTGCAGTACAAAAGTATCAAGTTTGACTAAATACCACAATAAGGAATTTGGTTGGAAAAATTGATCTTTCGGTTTTACCATTTTAAGAATTTCCTCAGTAAATAAAGATAATGGAAGTGAATGTTCAAGAACACAGAATGATGTACACAACAGAATGTAAACTTTGTGCTTCTCTATAACTATAACATATACACAATGTTTTTTATGACTATCTACAGTGTGGGATAGTTCTATAGTAGCAAAGTTAAGCGTGGGCAGTTATTTAGACAATTCGCTATATAGGAATTAAAAAGTGTTACAGTGGTGCCCACTACTGGTTGCAATTATAGTTTATGAATATTGTTACGACAGCGGAAGTCACGTGACGCTGCTGGCGCATTGGCGCCGGTGGCGTGTGCGAGGAGTTTCTCGAATGATCATGAATTTTCGGGGGAGTCCTAAGTGCGTTCGAGACGCCCTTTTCTTTAGTATATAAGCCTGGCAGAGAATCCAGTGATGAATGTATAGTTAAGCGAACAATAGTTACGGTTTGTTGGGTAATAATAAAGTGTGTGTTTTGTACTCGTAGAGAGTGAAGTTATCGAGATTGTGAATCGCTGTGATTTATGGGGTGTATTATAAAAGTCGTTAAGTTTAAAGTGACGAGAAACATACTGACTGTGGAATTACTTTGTACTAAAAGTTTGTATCGAGAAAGAATAAACTGGATTCATCAGGAAGAGACTTGTATCGCTGAAGTTCCTGGGAGAGAATTTATACCGGAAATTAACAAACATGCAGATAACAACAATTTTTTTTTATTCGTCTTCGTAGGTACTTATTTATTGGTATGCTTCTCGTGTGTTTTATATGCTAGTAATTTGTGAGTACAAATTATCACTAAGTATAATTTTCACTGTGTAAAATACTATATCAACCATTCTGTATGCCATTCGGCTAAATAATATCATTCGGAAACTGTTTTAGGTTCAGGTTTTCGAAGAGGATCAAAATCTAATTTATTCTAAAACGAAACGTCCTGTTATTGTATATATTTTTCACGCGATTAGTGTCACAAACTAATATCAAAATTAAAAGGAACGAAATATGTATAATTAAAGATACTTGGCTAATGGGTTGGTGCAAACGCTTGTTAATACAATGTTAAAGCTATAGCTACTTCAGTGATATGCGATAAAGTTGACTATAGCTATTTCAGTGATGTGCGATTAGGTTGGCTATAGCCATTTCAGTAATGTGCGATTAGATTAGCATATGGGCTTAACGAATTAGTTATGGCCGAATATATCGTTAACAGTGAGGGTACCTAACCAATGAAACAGTGTATTGTGATTATTATAAATAAAGTAGTTTGAAGAGTATATTCAATTACTTATGCTCATTACTAATGCTAGGTATACTTTTAGTTCTGATCTCTATAGGCAGATTGTTTTCATTAGAAGTAATGGGCGCTCGCAGGGGGGCACGTGCCCCCTCCCCCCGCTGGAAAATGAGAAACATAATTCTTTTTATATTCATTCAGCATATGTATATGAATTTTTTATTCAATTCACAGTTTCACACTATTTTGCACCACCCCTCCCCCTGTAAAACTTTATCCCTCCCTGAAAAAAATTCTGCGGACACCCATGTTAGAAATTAATATTACTTATAAGCTAACTTTTTCAACTTTTCACCATTTAATTATTTGATGTATTTATATTAATCTGTACTGTTAGTATTATTATTATTATTATTCTATCAGTGGCTTCTAAATATTTTTAGTAGTTACTGTTGCAACTGTTCAAGTTAAGTCAGTCTTCCTTCTCAGCGTGAAATTAAGATATCCCTAAGAATACTACTGGCTGTCAACGCTGTGATGGATAGCTAGCTAGGGGGAAACACTGAACACATCAAGAGCACCCTGAGGCCAAAAATGCTGGTCATTTTCTCACTGATCGATTAGTATGGTCCTGGTGCCAGCTTCTTAGTGCGAGGTAGGAAACACGACTGCATTCTGTCCCGATTCGTGCAAGGCAACCATGATCTGAAAGTAGTTGCTATAGTAACATACGAATTTCCCGATTTATTTTTAAATAGTATTGTTGAGTCAGCGAGGTCACGTGACTAGTGTCACGCCCCCTGCTTTCTGGAAATATCTTGTACCTTCGTGAGGTATTGTCGGGAGATTACTAGATATAGGATAGTCTGGTATATATAAGAGGGTGACAACGTGACGGGACAATAATGTGTGTGTAGACAGTGAGTAATTGATCTGCAGTCGGAGAGTATTATTGAAGTTGAGCACGTTCGTTGTTATAGCGTTTGTTTTAGCGCGATTGTTGAAATTAAGTGTATCGTAAAGTTATATTCGGAAAGAATAAACCAGTTTTATTAAGTAAGGACTTGTGTCGCTAAAGTTTCGTCGGAACAAATTTACGGAAAACCAATTAACAAACGGAGACGTAACAGTATAAAGTTCCGCGTTTAGGAGAACAAATCTGGACAGGGAACGACTAAATGTTTAGCTCATGCTTAAAGTATACTTCAATAACTACGCTACATATCTGATTTTTACTTCAAACAATACGCCGATTTTGTTTTCACCGGCAAAAAGAAGTTTTACCTAAACAGAGTAAAAGTAAAAATGGTTTACCCTTTGTCCATTGAAAGATGTAGAAGTTAGAAAAGGACGGACTTCTCAAATAAAATGTTAAGCAACGCTTTGCGTATATATATATATATATATATATATATATATTGCTATATAGCTCATGGTGTATGAACAGGTAGCAGGTACAAAGAGTCTTAAAACTAGTTTACAACAGTAAGTATATAATCAAATTAAAAAACTAGAAACTTACCATTCACTGTCGTTAATACCTTGTATCTCTGTTTTGTTCTTGTCATCTTCCATAAAAACTGCATATTTTGTCATGATTATTACAATGGTAAAGTACCATAAACTCCACGTATTACATTTTAGTTGACCAGCTGATGATCGAAAATGGCTTATTTCATTACCTTCTAAAGTATTTTCAAGCATAAAGTCTTCCCTGCCGTAACACAAACGTTCCATGTTAACTTTCATTCGTCGACACGGAAACTCTTCTGACCCATCACAGTAACACGTCCTGAGTTTTTCGGCTTTGTCCTGACGGTTAAGGATTGCCAGACTATTATTGCAACGGTGAGTGCATTTGTAGCCACTGAACATCCCGTGACATAGTTGGATGTAGTACTCCAGAGCCTTGGAACATTTGAGGTCTGCTACACAGATCCAATGAGCTACGGAACAAGAGACAACAGCATCTTCAGCTGTAGCTCGAATGACTTCCGGGCGACAGATCTCTACACGTTGTTTTCTCAACTGGCAGTCTTCAGATCCGTTACAGTCACACATCATAAATTCTCGTCCTTCAGGAGTGCTAGTCAAAGATATCAATGCACGTTTACAGAAAGTCGGGCAACTTGAAACTTGTCCGGCACAGTGAACCATATATCTTCTAAGAGCTGTTCCACAGCCCTCACGGGAAGCGCATTTCGTTTGAACCTCTTCACAGCTCTGGTCAGCCAGAGTAAAGAAAGTGGCAGGAAGTACATTTACCACTGCAACGACTATGACTGCCATAAAGTGCATGGCGAGCCCCTATCAACTAACTGTGCTGATGTTCACCAACACTTTTGACTGTTTAATACTATTGACTTAGTGACACCAGTGAGGAAGTTCACGTTGCCATTTCACTTAAAAGGTATTGAATTAAAGAAAACAAGTACGTTTCTAACTTCAATTTAAAGCATGAACTCATAACCGGTCTATCTAATGTCGGTTTCAGTAACAACACTTATCTACTACTTACGCAGATTAACGGCCCGCACTTCTTGTGACAGTACCCTGAGTATCCTAGTTTATCCAAATAATGCTCCGCCTCAATTACAAACATAGCCAATCACAGCAATTGTCAACATCTCATATCCGGGAGATACTTCCGATCATTCATCCCACGTGGTTTGTCTTTTTCATGGTGCAGCATATGGAGGTCATTAATTTTAGCTGTCCAAGAAGTTGTTTACGAAAGAAGCCGATTGCAGGACTCATAGCAAAGTAAGTTGTCATCAGCTTTGAGGGTTCGGGGCGGACCTCGCTGACAAGGTTCTCGCGCTGCGTGCCTTGAGACTGCCCTATGCACTTAATGAAGGGCGAGACGAATTGTAAGCTAAACAATGTAGATTTTTTTTTATGTCCGTTGACCTCTAGGCCAAAACTTTCCTTACATTAATTTATTTATTAACGTTTTGAAGACTTTATAACGGCCTTCGAAATGTTTGAAAATATTCACGCATCAAGGCACATAAATAACTGACATACAATTAACTTACGTAATGATTAATCCCCAATAATACAAAGTTTTTCAACATAACAAAAAGCAAAACAACAACAACAATGATTTAACAATATTAGGCAGTACATATTTTCACGTGTCGATATCATTGGGCTTAGGCAATATAAGAACTTTATAGAAAAATAACACCAAAAATTCCCCTCAATATCTTTCAAACAAATTACCTAACCTTTTAAATAATTTGTAGTATATAGTCATTAATGTATGTAATGGTTTAAATAACTCGTGGCATACAAACATTGCTCTATCTAATGTTGTAAATATGTTGAAGGGATATAAACATTTCTGTATCTAATGTTCTAAATGATCTGTAACATACATAGGCATTGCAATATTTAATTTTCTAAGTGACTTCTAGAAATAGCTGAACTTAATGTTTTAACGACTTGCATGACATAGACATTACTGTATCTGATGTTTTTATTGATCTATAGGATATATATATATTTCTGTGCCTAATGTTTTGAATGATCTGTAGTATATAGACATTTCTGTAGCTAGTGTTGAAAATAACTTGTAGGATGTATACATATAGTTGTACTTAATGTTCTGAATTATCTTTAGGAAGTAGATAACGCTGTTTGTAATCTTCTAAGTAAACTGTGTGATATAAAAGTTGCTGTATTCAATATTTTAAACTATTTGTATGATATATATATATATATATGTTGCTGTATCTAATGTTCTGGATGATCTTTAGTATATAGACAGCCCCCCGGTGGCACAGCGGTATGTCTGCAGACTTACAACGCTAGAATCCGAGTTTCGATACCCGTGGTGGGCAGAGCACAGATAGCCCATTGTGTAGCTTTGTGCTTAATTACAAACAAAACAAACAAGTACATAGACATTTCTGCAACTCATGTTCTAAATTATTTTTTGGATACAGATCATGCTAAACAGTGCAGAATATAATGGTCCAAATGATTGAAGGATATAAACATTCCTTTTCATAATTTTGTAAATTACTTGAAGAATAGGTACGTTGCTCTATTTAATGTTCTAAACGACGTGTGTGATATAACCATTGCTGTATCTAATGTTCTAAATGGCTTGTAGCATATATAAATCTATATATCCAATGTTGTACAACAGTGTATATATCCTACAAGTTACTTAGGTAATGTTCTGATGTTCTATTATGTTATGAATAGGTTGTAAGATATAGACATACTTTATTTAATGTTCTAAACTATTTGTATGATACAGACATTGGTTTATCTAATGTTGTAAATTATTTCTGGATTATAGATATGTTGTATTTAATATTCTAAATAACGTGTAGATTATAAACAATTGTATTAAATACTGATTGAAATGACCTGTAATATATAGACATTTTTTCTATGTAACTTTGTAAATAATGAGTAGGATAAGTGCGTTGCATATTTTAAAGTTTTAAACAAAGTATATAATATAGACTTTGCTGTATCTAATGTTCTAAATGCCTTGTAAAATATAGTCGTTTCTGTATCTTGTCTTGTAAGTAACTTGTAGGATATAGATTTTGCTGTATGTATTTTTCTAAATGACTTATGGGATATATACATCGCTCTGTCTAATATTTCAAATGACTTGTGAGGAATAGGCATTTCTATATCTCGTATTGTAAATAGCGTTCAAGATATACACATTTCTGTATCTAATGTTCTAATATACCTTGCGGGATGCAAACACTTCTATATCTAACGTTGTAAGTAACTTATGGGTTTGAACATTTCTATATATAATGTTGTAAATAGTTTGTAGTACATATACATTGGTGTAATTAATATTATAAATTACTTGTAGGCTTGAGACATTGTAAATAGGTTGCAGGTATATACATTTCTGTACCTAGTTTTGTAAATGACATGGAGGATATAGACATTGCTGTATTTAATATGCTAAATGACTTGTTGGATATATACATACTGTTGTATTTAAGATTTTTAACTACTTTCAGTGTAAATCAATTGTTATGTCTCATGCTCTAAATAATGTGTAGGGTATACACATTTCTGTATTTAATATTATAAGTAACTGTAAAGATATAGAAATTGCTGAAGTTAAAATATAATATTCTGAGTCACTTGTGGGATATAGACTTTTCTGTATTTAATGCTGTAAATAACTTGTAGGACATACACATTGCTGTACTTAATGTTCTAAAGCACTTGCACACATTTTTTATCTAATGTTGTATATACTGCTGCAGTAGAGTACTTCTTTCTGGAGTAACTTCAACGAATTTGTTTTAATTTATTTTAATATCGACGCTGTTTAGATTGAGTTTATATTTAAAAGCATGCATAGCTTGTAGTGTTAGATATGTATTGCGCAACTCCCGCCTATTCCCCAAAGATTGTAGAAGATTCTCCAGAGTGAGAATCAACAATATATGTGTGTATGTAAACAGTTTAACCGGTACTGTTACGTAAGATTGAAGTTTTTAGAAAACGTTCCCACGCTATAAATATAACTAACGTCACACGCCAGAGAGTGTCTATTACTAGTTCGCTATAATTAGCATACTATGAACTCCGAAAGCTATAATTGTGATTTTTAGAACGCTTATCAATCGGAAAACTTAAGATTTTCGACCAGGAATATTTATAAATATCGAACATTACAAATGGTTTAACTTCAGTGAATTCTCATCGGACGTTAGTATTTTTTACAAAAACATTACCAACTTCAACCGTGGAAAACAGTGTGTGTGGCCAAGGAGATAAAGGTAGCTAGCTTCCCGGCGAATCGTATTTACATCAACTCACTCATCGTAAGATATCAAGGAAGTTCCAGACTAGAAAGAAAACTTTATATTGTTTATAAGTTTGTGAAACTTTTGTATATAAATCATTGTTTGTAGTAACTATTTGTAATAATTGTACTGTTGTGTGTATATTAAAACGTATTTGTGTTGAAAACGAAAACAGTGTGTATCAATCTTGTTGGCAAATATCGTAAATTGACTAATATACCGGCTTACATTTAAATAGTAGATCCAAAGTACAACTTAACTACTAAATTTAAATCATCAGTTAACTCGGCTTCGGACTATTTGAAAGTCTAATATGTAACATTAGTCTCAAAGTGGGTTCCTCGTCACCGAATTAGTCCTTCAAAGAAAAAGTCCAACTTTTGAAAGTGCCCGGGTTATAGGGTTATGTATTTTTGTCTTTAATTGATTTGTTGAGCTCATGTGTTTTCCTAACATCGTGAAATGTTTTGACCTTATATTTTTTAGAATATTTTAGTAGCTTTAACATTATGTCATTCCACCATTACCTCGTTTGGGAATGTTACTTTTTGCTTCTTCGACTGAGTCAATGAGGATATAACATCAGATTTCTGTGGATTCTTGAAAACGTAGGAATTTCTGACAATGCTGATCGCCTTGCAATTAAGGCTTTGATAAATACTCTCTAACTTGTTTCGTTCCTATGATACCTTTAATTTTCATTATATTCTGTTCTCTCATTTAACCAAATTTTGGTCCTTGAGCTGGGTCTCACCCACTACTACACAATATACTCTGGATGTCTTGCTACTACCCCTCATAAAATTCCAATCAGTCCTCTCATATAGAAGACTTGAGGTTATCCACATTCTTCCTTATGGTGGTTGAAGTCTAAATTACACTTTTTATAAAATTGGAGTCGTGAGTTCCCTATTTGCTGAGCTTGTGATGCAATTCCTTTTATGTTCAGACATATTCTTATAGAATTATCATAAAAAGAATATTTATGTTTTTATGGACTCGACTCATGATTTGTCATATTTTTTCACAATATGAGAATTTCTTTTACAACAACTAATTTACTTAAAATACAAATTGTTTTTCTCCTTTCTTTCTGCAACATATCACTACTACAGTAATACATTCTTTAAGCTGTCTCTTTAATTTCCTCAGTAGTGGAGTCTTTGTTTCATACAGAGTAAATAACTATATATTTAAGTTAGTTAGGCCCAGATATAATGAAATTTGAATTGATTTATTTTAAAGATGATGCTGTTGAATGCTGTAGAATTACGATTTTCTAGCAAATGTTCTAGACCTTCTGTAATTTTACTGTTTTTACACACTAGTATATAATAATCATTCCATTTTGACTACATATCTTTGGTTTCCCGCTTTTTCTTGTTGTAAATAGGCCTTATAACCTAACATAAGACATCCATACATTAAAAAGAAATAAGCAGCACATTAACAGCATTTCGATCTATGTGAGGCTTGGGTAATATTTGTTATTCCTACTATTTTCAAGTTGAAGGAAGAATTTACCTTTACAACAACAGTACTTTTCGACCTAGAGCTTTTAGGTTTTATTATACTGTTTTTTTTTGTTTTTTTTAGGTATGTGACCATCATAGGGATAGAATGCCAACATTAGGGGAGAAGGTTTATTTCTCACTCCTAATGATCTGATTGTAGCAACCTGATAAATTTAATCGTGTTTTTAAATTTCATTCTGTACGATTAAAGCAACTATCTTTTCATAAATGGCTGCAGACTGTGGATGGTAGTTTTAAAAGTTGAACGTTATGAGTTTGATCACCCATATCTGTTCTTACTGTTTAAATATTTTCGTTATCTCACACAACGATCAGAGTTTAAACAGATAGATTATGTATCTCAACTGCTGTGTGGTCCTTTATTACTACAGATCTTCTTTCTTAATGAGTGCCATCTTTATTATTCCCATATTCAAGTACCTTAATTGAATAAATAGAGTTGTTTAAACCAGTAGAATGATAGGTTTCTTTTATGTGAGTTTAAAACACTTGAATACACCAGTTCGATGAAGTACCTTAGTTATACTTGCCTTGTGAGTACGTTTTGTGTTTGTCTTTTTTTTTGTCTAAAGGTTTTTTTTTATGTACATGTACAGAGGTTGAGTGCATTATATTAGAACATTTTTGGAGCCATACCACGCCGTTACAGTCCATGTTGTCATGTCAGGTCATGCTGTGCATTTTGACAATAGTTCTGCAGCATAGTTTCTGTTGAGAAAGTTCCATTCTTCTCGGACGATTTCAACAGCCCTATCACAGAGTAATCCATACTTACTGCGTTTGGTGACTATTGCAGCGTAGTTTTTATTGAAAAAGACATCTTCATAAGACTGTCATGTCCAAAGCACACCATTGCTCCCAGTGAGAATTTCACTATCTTCTAAAATACGAGGGCGACTACCAGTACGCTTTCGTATTTGATAGCGGGTATTTATTCTTCAGCTGCTTGTGGTATGCAACAGTTGAGCGGGAACTATAATTTAAAGCCTTATTTTGATGGACCAATAGCCTGTTGGCCTCGTTTCTAAACGGAAATTCTTCTTAATTATATTGTGTACTATTGTCCAGGATACGTGGACGTGGAAGGGTTTTTTTTTCACTGACGTTTGTGCTAGCTGATTCCAACTTGTTACAAAATGTAATACTTTGCTTTTCCTGTTTGAGGCATGACTTGTTGCAGGTCTCTTTTTGGATGGTCCCAAGCCTCCCGAGTTAATTCGTATACGTTTGTTTTCTAATGCCTTTAAGTGCAAGCCATATCTCTGCCTTGGAAATTATAAATATTTTATCTCTACACGCCTTTATGATCTGATA